AGAGTGACAGGCATGCACCATTATACTCCAAACACTGCTATGTCCTTTTTATACCCCCTCTGATGGGCAGCCCTATTCCTGGGCAAGTAATACAGCTGGTAAGATTCCAGACTGATCTGCCCTGAAGGGAAAACACAGTAAGCACGCAGATGTTAATATTCAGTCCAGAGGAAGAAAGGAAACGAAACAGATCCATCACAAGGCAGGGCAAGGAGGGACACTGGCCACAGTGGTCACTACCAAGTCTGGCAGGGACAGTATGATACAACTGAGACAGCATCTCAGCACGAGCAAGTGTTAAGTTCTACCATAAGATCCACGCTGAGCTATTAAAACAAATGACAAATAATTAAAAATACTAACATTGTGGTTAAAACTGAACAAACTCTTTAATGTGGGCATTTCGCTGCCAGAAATGTCAGCTAAACCAAAGTAACACCGTTCTGTCCAAGACCATGTGTTCCACTCCAAGTGGGTGATTCAATAACAAATTATGTGTTTATAGGGATTAAAAAACATCACCATTTAGGATAATAAATAACCCAAGCTCTGGAAACAAAACTAATTGATGAGACATAATGGAAGGGGTTTCAGAAAGTGAAAAGGATTACTGGATTCCAGGTTTTCTTATATTTTTACACTAAAAGCATTTCAATTAAAATTATGACTGTCTGCTACCCAGTCTGTCGTCCCTCTCTGCAGTTCCTCTTTTTAATGCACAGTTTAAGTGGCTCTCATTAAAGCTACTAATAAAGACGCACATTTTAAGTGATTAGCACCAATAACATGGCAACACATTAACATTCTCTCCTTGGGCTCCATAGCTCTCCCAGTGAGCCCATTTACCGCTCAGCTATTCATTTTCCATATTAATTGCACACTCATTTCTCCACAGCAAACTTCTTCATAGTATAGACCACTGATGCACAGGACAGGGAGAATGCCCAGGCAGCAAATACTGTTTCCCATCCCAACTTCCAAAGGATGCTAAGCAACAGGAAACTAAGACAAAGATGAGATCATTGATGATTTACTTTTGGTTCACACACTGCCAACCATTGATGTGTCTCATGATCACCGGTGAAAAGAAGTTACAAACAGCAAGAGGCTCCCTGTTACTTGTGCCAAGCTTTGGGGTGGAATTTGAAATCCTACAGTCACCTGGATTTACTGACTTTGTAACAGATGAAAAAAAAGAACTTTTCTAAAACCTGGCAAATGATTAAACTGAACTGTGGCTTCGAAAGGCAACATTTCCGAGCAGCAGTTTTCAATATTATTTGTATTTAGGGATCGTGGCTCCCAGTGCACAGGAAAAGAGAATGACCATGCCCTAGGACACCTAAACCCATTTAGCCCACACCACCAGTTGCTCCCTTCACACTCTCCCCTCTTTTATTCGGGCATCAACAGTCAGTAGGATGTCAGACTGTCAGCAAGATATGTCATTATTATGAATTTGCTTACTTTCTGGAAAAACAGTATCAGAACTTGTTTTATTTTGCATCAGAAGAATCTTCCAGATTTTCCTGTCTGCTTCTGCCGCACTAACTTTGACAACAGATTTAAATCATTAAAGTATGCCTCACTGAAGATGAAACACATAGATTTTGAGTTAATTATTCTGGGACAGGAGCTTTTTTTAGCTGGGGAGCGCCTAGAACATTTGCAAGTGAATGAAAATAGCAAAAAAAACCAAACACAACATCAACAAATTAAAAAAATATATACTTCTGCAGTCAGCCATCTTCCCTGAAGCCCCCAGCAGTACCAACTGGAAACGGGCAGACGTGCCAAGGACAGGAGGCTGGAGCTCGCTGCTCGTGCCGGGGGTGGGCAGCCGCTCACCAGACGGCCTTGGCAGGCAGTCAGACAAGAACACCCACACAAGGGCTTCGGCAGCCTTGGCTGGCGCCTTGCAACACCAAAAATGTACAGACAGCCTGGCGAGAGGTGGAAGTTCACCACCACTCGAGCTAGTCCCGCCCTTCTTTTTTTCCATCCTTCTCTTCCTCCCCCTCTTTTCTGGTTTTCCTTTTTTTTTTTTTTTTTGAGATGGTCTTATTGCACTGACATACAGAGGAGGATGAGGCTGGAATAAAAGGGAAGCCAGCAAATACAACGTGCAGCATTACAGTGAAGCGAGAACCCCATCAGCTGTCCTCTGTGAATGCTGCTGCTGGATTGGTAGGCACTTCCTGGTGACTGGAAGTCAGCAGTGCTAATGCTGTCTATGTAACATTTATAGTGTAGGAACAAAGAGTAGTTTCTACCACCCTTTTTCCCCGCAGAACGCACGTAGGGGGCTATCGGGAAGACCTCTCCCAGACTGTACTCCCTACCACCAGAGCAACAGCTCTCACCTCACCGTGACGACCCCCGCACGACAGATGCACAATGGGTCTCTCGTTAAACCCATTTCCCAGAAATGGAAGCACAAGGTCTCAATGCCTCAAAATTCAAGGGCTTTTTCCATCTATTTTAGCCAGGGTCGTGGTGTGCCAGCAGACCAAGGCTTTGAGAAAACAGTTGCACTAGAAGGAAAATTCACTGACAAGCGACAAGGTTCCTGACTCTGAAGCTCTTACACCAACGCAGGTTGATCAAGCAGCACTTGCAAGATTGAATGACAGCAACTTCAACACCTTATCAACCCGTTTAAAGCTCAAAGGCAGGATTCTCCCCTGGGATGCTTCAGTTTTCACTGGGAACACCCCTACGTGTTTGTCCAAACACGGGAGGAAGCAAAGCTTACCTTTCGCCAGGCGCTCCAACCTCTTGCCGTGTTCCGGAGGTATGGCGTACCTAGGAGGAAGATGACACAGAGGACAAAAATTAATCACCCCATAAGCTAAAATCAGTGAAAGAAAAAGGAAGCTAGAAACAAGAGTGGTACTAACTGTTAGCACAGCACACTCACAGTTAACGGCTGGAATTGTAACCAGAAGTCTGGAAGGCATCAGTAACACAAGGATAACACACGGAAGAAAGCCAGTATTTTACTAAAGGTCCTATGTCATTTACTAAAGGTCCTATGTCAATGCGTGTCATTTTCCTACAGTTTTTTTAAACAGCATCGTAGGACTGCACAAGGCAGGAGAAGAATGGAGAAGGCGAAGTGATGATCCAGCACAGACATAAATCAGCACTGCGAACAGTAGGCGCGTTCTTGGCAGAAAAGGGGCCGGCAAAATAAAACCACGAGGCTGTGATCAAGATGAACACATGAGAAATTTTGGATGGGCTGGGGGGGGTGTGAAGGAGGGTTTGCGTACACCCCCACCCCTACAGCAAATGCCGATAGGCTTTTTCAGAGAAAAGTATATGTACATATTTTTCCAGGTTTTTCAAAAAAGCAAATATTCTTCCCCAAGGCCGAGGCACTCGATCCTTGTATCTGCAGCGTCTGATGTGATTTCCCAACTAAACTGCTTGATCGTTTCCTTGGTGAGTGAAAAAGCAGGGTCTTCTGAGGAAAACAACATTAAAGGGTACAAGAAACAAAAACTACACTTTTTTAAAGATAGTTTTGCTAGATGAGAGGTAAAAGGAGTGCAAAGAAGAAGGTTTAAAGTGTTTGGGGTGGGTTTTTTCCCACAAGTGGAAAGTATTGAACAAGTCCTGGAGAAACAATTAACCACCCGGAGTCACACACAAGCCCGAGGGAGACTTTCTCCTGTGATCAGTAGAAAACTGCACCTACGTTCCACTTGTACACCAGCTCCGCTGTGTCCACAGCTAACGCAGCGGGTTACCGCGAAAGGCAGAGGGTTCATTTCTACTGCCCAGCAGCTTCCCACCGAGCCCGGCCGTGTGCCCACCACTGCCGGTCGTGCTCAGTCTGCCTCGAGCAGCTAAGAACCAGGAATTTCTCTCTTCTTACAGGCAATTTGGACACTGTAATGTGCTTTAATGCAACAAAAACATTAGAAACACCGTGGAAAAAAAAACGCAAAAGCACTTCTAGTAGTGGCAGAAACAGTGCTGTGCGTGACGATTCTTCACAAAAATCAGGGCGGTTTCATGCAGCTGCTTTTCTCCCCCAAAAGCTGTTCGTTACCTACGGCTCTGAAGTTATACTACCCCAGTGTACACAGCAGCAAGAGTCAGGTGATGAGGATTTTATGCGTTCAGGTTAGAACGAGGTAGTGAAACACCACGATACACCGAAACGTGCTTAACACAACACATAACATCAGTGGTATTTTGTAAATTATCCTTTTCGTATGGCATGAAGTTAAACGTGGTTCTCACGCTGAGTTTGTGTAACAGAGAATTTTGAAAATTCATAGTGACATTTATTACCAGCGATAACTTTTGTTCAATGTGAATAATAAAAAAATGCATTATTTTTGTTATTTCCAATAAAGATGTCAAAACGTCTCTTCGTAACAAGCTGAAAACAGGGTACTGTAGCAAGCACGATCTCAAGAACAGGTGAACAGTATTGCTCTGCTTATGACAGGATCTCTCAAAATACACCTGATTTTAAAGGACTCTCAGCCAGTCCCTTTGCTCAGCTTCTCAATTTTCAAGTCTACAGTTTACCTACAGCGTAAGGAGGAACAGATAGAAGTCACAACCCGTACTGCTCTTTTGTACAAAACCAAGATGTACCCATTGTGGCCTGGCAGGTAGAAAGGATAACAAAGGACAGAAATCATACATAGGATGCTCCAAGATTTAGACATTAAGCCGATTTAGACTGATGGCTTACAAAAATCTAAGGGAGAACACTACGTAGCACCTAGTCTTGTAAAATAACAAACAGAGCGATGGACTCCCAGCAGCCCCTGACCAAAGTTTGACAGTGCCTAAAACTGCATAATTATCAAACAATTCAATTTTATTTGTCCAGGACAAAGCTAGCAGCTTTCATTCTACAAAGACCATTCACCACTTACATAAATGTGATAAAACTAATCCCGATCCAAAGCTCCTTTGTGGGATTAATGTCCCTTAAAACAGGGAAACGAGACATTCCATTCCTTCTGGGAAAAATGCTGAAGGATTGGGAAAGAACTAATTTATGGCTACAAGGCTGCCGATGATTAATGTAATATCCCCAGTCTACAATGCAACCTTCACTTAATTAGTGCCTGTAATTGGGAGTTGTAAAGATAAGATTAATTGAATCTTGCGGATGTTAAAAGTTTAATACATTGGAACATGGTTATTGTGTTATCTGAAACTGCAGACTGCAAAAAGCCAAGCGGAGCTTTAGAGAACGGTCCATGGAGAGACAAAGAAAAAGGACTTGCTTGGAGAGAAACCAGCAAGAGAGAAGGAATTTCCAGCTTATAAAAAAGAGCTGTATGTAATAATGCACAAATCGGAATGGCCTACCACAGACCAACCTCCTGGTAATAGCTGACTCCAATTTTAGAAATTGACTTTTTTGTTTAGGCCAGTCTTCTAGGAAGCCAAGTCTACACATCCTTATACATTCAGTCTTAGGAATTCACAAAATTAACTGCAGAAGAGAATTACAAGTAGGTCAAATTCTGCTCTAAGTTATACTCACAAGTCTGACTGATTTACATAAAGATAGGCAATAAAGAAAGAATTTGGGCTGCTATTTAAAACCAGTGAGAGAAACAGAAGGCTTGTGCAAGTATCACACAGATTGAGCTCGCTAGCTCAATCTAGACATAAGATGATTGATTACAAGGTAGAATAACAATGGAAGCCACATGGAAAGATTAGAAATTGCTGCAATCAAAGGAGCACTGTTATTGAGCATATAAACATCCACAAAGGGGCTGGCTTTTGTGTACGACCTTCTGGTACCATCCTCCTGCTTTCAGTATGAAAAATGGCCAGGCACTTGTTGGGGACAAAAATCCTTGATGGAGGGAGCTGACAAAATGCTGACATTCAGTACGATTTGTTACCATCCCTCTTGCACCCCCAGGCTGGGGCTCAGATCAACAGCAACATATCTTGGATTCTAGAGACAACAGCAAAATATCTTTCATTCCAGAGACAACTGACAAGATTATGCATGGTAAAGCATATCCAGTAATTTCCTTTTCTATATGCGTGACTTTGAATACTTCAAGATATTTTTTTCCCCCCACCAAATAGTATGGTTATTTTCCTTCAGTACTGCACCCAAATACTAAATGCAGTAGGCTTCCTCTAGAAAAACACCAGAAAAACCCCAAACCACCCTATCAAAGTCTTATAAACAAGAAAACTAAAATCAAAATGCATGTAGAGCTGCTCCCTTCCCTGTCCCGTTCAGATCACAGCCCTAAGGCATCCATAAAGACAAAGAAAGAAAAAAACCTCGGAAGGAGCAAAATACCACTTTGCTATCAATTGGCCAAGACAGACTGCGGTATCCACGAAAGATCCCAAACTGGGCTGTGTCGAGACCATCAGACTGAGAACTGCTCAGTGCTTCAGCCCTGCTGACAGAAGCAGTTTCATGACATCCACCTGCCTGGGGAAAACTGAATTAGGAGGAACTCACTTTGATCCAGCCCTGAGCAGACACTTCTTTTTAACCACCACAAAGATGGAGCAAGGATTTTCCGTTGCCCCAAACCACCCGAACTAAAGAGAATAAATATTTTAACAGCCCTGCTTAAGAACCGTCTTTTTATAGACAACCACTGCTTCAGAGAAAACATCTGCAGCAGCCAACAGAAAAACAACGGTGCCAAAACCACTGACCTTCAGCCACTGCTTCAAATGCACAATCTGTCTCTTCTGGTTTGACCAGGCTCCCCAATAAAAGCCAAGTCTACAGAAATAGTGCTAAACCAGCAATGGTTTTAAGATATATCAAACTTCCAAGAAAGCAGGCTGGCAAACAAAGCAAGAGACTAATGCCTGAAGTACGAACTGCCAAGGGTCAGCCTTGCAGAGGTTGACCAAGACAAAGGGCCAAGCTTAACCTGAAAACCCGCCACTCAGCAGTTTGTCAGGTTACGGCGTGAAGAATGTCTTGCTGCTTTGCCAGGGAACATGCGATTTACAGAAGGGGAAAAACATAATCTCAAGATAAAACCACTTATAGCTATAGGACTCAAATGTCATCTTACCCCGAAGTCAACAATCTGAAAGTAATATACTGATCCTTTCAAATTACTTTTTCTACTTTTTCTACCGCAACAAAAGCGGGTCTCTGAAATGGATTAAAGTATCACTTCTACAAACACGGAACTTACTGATAAAACCACTTATAGCTATAGGACTCAAATGTCATCTTACCCCGAAGTCAACAATCTGAAAGTAATATACTGATCCTTTCAAATTACTTTTTCTACTTTTTCTACCGCAACAAAAGCGGGTCTCTGAAATGGATTAAGTATCACTTCTACAAACACAACTTACTGCTCTACCTGAAAGACTTTCAGTTTCCAAACTTGTTTCATGAGACCCAATTCCAGCACTTCTGATCTCTACTTCCCTGTAATTTTCTGAGTTCTTGAGTATCCTGCAAAACTGATTCCAATTGTAATTACCAGACATCAGGGCCACGGGACCAGAAGGTACGTGCCCCAGAGCTGCAGGCACATTAGATAACCATGTCCCTACTGTGGCAGCTTGCTTTTGTTGTGGTGGAAAGAGAAGAAAAGGTAATTTAAAAGGATTCATTCAAATGCCAACCTGCTCTCAGAAGCAGCGGTGAGAACAGAATCTGAGCTAGACTGGACAGTCCCCTTTTTACCCTTAACACGAAAGATCCTTCCTCTTTGCCATAAAAGATGTCATTAATAGTGTAATTTTCTTGGTGTTTTGTTTATTCCCCTGGAATGGCTTGATGGATGCGGATAATTATCCGACTATAAAAG